CTCCTTTGTCCCAAGTGCCTGGCAGAGGTGCAGAGCTGGAAGGGCCTTAGTCTACCCTGACCTGGGGCAGGTGCCTCTATCCTAATGCCCAAGATTGGGTACTCCTGCCCTCAAGTCACTCTCTCTTCCCCTAGGACAGCCTTTCAGAGAACAGGAGAGATGGAGGGGACTCTCTCATGCCTGCCTTTCTACAGGTGGAACACAGGAGTTTCTTTGGGCTTTTTTCTTCCTGTGACTCGCCTCTGTTTCATCTGTACAATGGTGATTATAATAATATCTATCTTCTAGAGTTGTTGCGGAGATTAAGAGTTACTCTATGTAAAGCACTTGGAATAGTGTTTAGCACACAGTAAGTGCTCCATAAATGTTGTTCATATCATTACTGTATTGAGTCCACCTTCCTATGGAAGTGCTCATAGTTCTTGAAGTTCTGATAGTCAAGACCCAGAACTATGACAGGTTATATCAATGCAGAGTTCAGGACACTGCTGTAAAGTTTGTATAGCCAAGCACTGCTATTTATTGTGTGTGTGTGTGACTTCAGGAAAGTTATATAACCTCTTTATGCCTCAGTTTTCCTTGATCTATAAAATAGGGATAATAATACTACCTACCATATAATAAAGTTCTTACAACAGTGCCTGGCACATAGTAAGTGCTCAATAAATATGAGCTCTATTTATTTGGACACTAGGCTTTGAATAATTCAGTCTCACTTTCTCCTCCTCCCTGCCCCCCCCTTTTGTATCCCTTTCCTTTCTTCTTTCTTTAGCAGTCACATTATTCTCAAGCATTAATTTAAGTTTGTGGTCAATTCCTCCCACTCTCCATATTTTTTAATTGAATGATTCTGGATCACATGGACTTTCTTCTTTCTTCTTCTTCTGTAGACTTCTATCTTCCACCATCAAAACTTTTGTATAGTGCCCAGGTACGTGTGGCACCGGGCGCTACAAATTCAGTGGGTCTAGCCTTTGAGGGGCAGGCATGGCAGTGCCATGGAGAGAATGACCTGGGCGCAAATTCTTCCTTCACCATATATTATCTATGTGACCCAGGGTAAGTCAGTTAAGTCCTCTAACCTTGTTCTACCTATCTGTAAAATGGGATTTACAATCCTATTTTTAAGGCTGCTATGAAGATTAAAAGTTTAGTGCCAGTAATAAAGTGAACTTCCATATTCCCAAAGTTATTGGTACAGGCCAAACAGATAAATTGGGTAAAAGGTCTTTCCATGCAGAATTTAAAAAGTGCCTCCTCTCACTCCCCTCCTTATCCCAAAGGGTCTCTCAGGAAACCTGAGGCACCATAATGCTCTATTTCAGATCATGCCTTCTGACAGGTTCACCTGACCCGGGGGTACTGGAGGCTGGGGTACTTCCCAGCCTGGAACCTCAGAGCCAGAGCCCTTCTAACAAATAGGGCATCTTTGCTCCTATTGTACAGGTGAAGTCACTGAGGCTAGTTGTGCTTTACCCAATATTGCACAGCTGGACAATGGAGGAAAGAGGCAGACACTCCTCTGGACTCCTTAAGATTAGCACTGTTGTTCCACCTGACCCTCAAGGTTCTTGGCCCTCTGGGAGCATCTGAGAAACTATGGGTGCAATCATCAGAGCATGGAAAGTAATCCCTGCCCATTCTGAGGAACCCCACCACATCCTTGCCCTTCAGAGTTTCCCGCTCTGCCCATTTAGACCAAGCCAGTGGCCTGGCCCCTGATCCTAAGAGGAGCTTTTTCCCATCTTGCCCCACCCCCAACAGCTGTAGCCTAGGGATTTTTTTCACAGAAAGCCCCACCATCCAGGAAACTGATCCCCATCTGAATGGCTGAGTATCAGCAGGTGGCAAGAGGACTGTGGGATTGAGAAGGTCCTTGAAGGGAAAAAGAGTCTCCTGTGCTGACTGTAATCTGGAATCAAATGTGGACACCTGCTTGGAGAAGAGTCTAAAGGGAGTAGGGGAGAAGGTAGAGAGTAATCTTAGAATCAAACTTTCTAGGGGGCAGCAAGGGAGGTCAAAGTAGACAATAGCATGACTGAAGAACTGCCTTTCTCCTTGGAGTTTTAATGTCCTGGCATCCTTTCTGGTTATAGGCCCTTGGTGAGTGTAGATAGAATGCACGAAACCTGTGCTGGTCTCTCACACAAACTTCTCTAAGCAGAGTTGGAGCTGTGTGCTGAGATGCCTGAGAGAGTTGGTAAGTGCCTGGGAGAAGGGTTGACATGAAGTCACGGAGTGCCCTGTAGGATTTCTCCCCAGTCTTGAGAAAGCCAAGCATCTCTGATGGAAGACCGAGTCTATCCCTCCCTGGCTGGAAACGCACGCAAGCTTCGGGGTAAGGAAGGCCACTGGCAAAGCCACCATTTAGAAAAGGCTCGGAATCCACAGGGAAGTGGGCAGGGGGTAAGGAAGGTGGGTCTCAGCCTGTGGCAATATGGCCTCTGGGAAGCAGACCCCTGGCCCAATGCCCAGCGTTTTCATCATGTGTTGGGGGGACTGTCTTCTTGAAGTGTGAAGCCAGGACAACTTCAGAGAGGCTGAGGTCTGGCCCAGAGGAAGAGCCCCTCCTTCTCCTCAGCCACCCTCTGAGGAGCACTTCCTTCAAAATGCTTATTAGTGAGCTCTCCCAAAGGAAGGAGGTCAGAGTTATCTACATTTATAAATGACAAGCGAGGGTTCTAATGGCTGAATCACTCCCACAGCACAGCTAGTGCAGCACAGTCGAGAAGTGGTGGGGAGTGCTAAGCAGACAAGCTCCCAGACACCAAGACAGCCGGGCCCTAGAAGGAAGCCAGGACAGGAGTCAGGAAACCTGGGCATCCCCGTGGGCTCTGCCACAATCTCCCTGCATGTCCTGGGGCAAGTCGCTCCACCCATCTAGGTCTGGAGCAGAACTTGCTCACTCTGATAGTTTACCTTTTCTTCTGGAGAACCCAAGATAAGGAGTTTCTTCCTGAGGAGGGCCTGGGGGCACACTGAGGAACTGCAGCTCTCTGGCTGAGGCCTTGCACTCTGGACAGTGAGGGGTGAGGGCTTCTAGCTCAGTGAGGTTCAGGTTGAGTCTTCATGGTATCAGGAAGAACATGTGTTTGGGAAGATGCTGAAGCCTCTTGAGGAAAGGGGGCAGCCCAGGGGCCTCCTCCAGCCTAGGTGGGGCCTTTGGAAACCATTTCCTGGGTCCTGGACACCAATTCTCAGAGATGTAGACTCTGGTCGAAAGGTCTGGGTTTGAATCCCAGTTGCCCCACAGACTAATGTCTGACCTTGGCCAGGTTCTCCCTTTCACTTTACAGACAGGAAGCAGGACCAGAGGTGGAGAAGGATTTGTCCAACTCACAGAGCTAGCTAGGGTTGTTATAGGGATTAAATGAGTCACCATCTCTAATATCCCAAGATACCGCCTGGTACCACTAAGCTCTATGTGTTTGTTAAATACAAATAACAGAGTGGCCGGCCTAAAGCTCGAGGCAAACTCAGCTTGGCCTTTCAGATTCAGAAAACAAAAACTGCCTTAAACTGTGAACCCAGGAGCGCAGGTTTCTAACTTGCATCAGAACACCCGGTGTGCTTGTTAAAACAGTCCTGGGCCCCAGTCCAGTGTCTGATTCTGTGAATCTAGGGTGGGACCAAGAGTTTGCATGTCTCACCAGCTTCCTGGTGATGTCAGTGCTGCTGGTCCAGAGACCCCTTTGAGAACCGTGGACACTGAGGAATGAATTGCTAGGGGTGTAATTTCTGGCATCGGCAAGGGAAAAATATCCTTTCCCAGGTATACGGGTCTCCCCAGGGCTGAAGTTTAGTGGCACAGCTATAGGGCATTCATCAATTCCAGCTGGCTGCATCTGCACTCATCTATGATACTCTATTGAGTATCCCCTAGTCTAGCTTTCAACAAGAGGACAGCCCCTCCTCCTCTTTGCAAGTGGGTGGCTTTGACACCCGGGCTCCAGGAGGCCTGTGTCGTGAGAATGAATCAAATACCAACCAGGCAGGTGAAACCAACACATTCTTTATTGCAGACTGAAGCTAAGGGCTCACTCACATCGTGAGCTCTTATCTGCGGCTTCTCTGCCAGCCCAAGCTTTCCTTGAGAGGCCAGGGCAAACTCTCCAAGCATAGAAAACAGCTTCCAGAAGCAACCCCTTCAAAGAGCCTGAAGTGAGGACCTGGGAGAGTAGCAGCTTGGCATGCAGAGTTAACCAGAAAGGTAGAGCCAGAGGGCCAGGCAAACCCAACCTTCATCTCCTGGTGACTTCGGGTCACTCTCTTTGCTAGGAGTGCCACTCAGACTCTGAAAAGATCTAAGAAGCCGAGGGTCTTTAGGGGCTGCTTTAGGGAGGGGGGATGGGCAGACTCAGAACCCTGGTGGTGTCGGGGAAAGCTGAGAACCTCCAAAATCCCCTGTCAGGACATCCCTAGGACCACCCTAGGCCCTTGCTTCTCAAACGGTAATATGCTTGTAAGAATCACCTGGGGATCTTTTTGGAGCATGGGTTCTGATTCCAGAGGTCTGTGGTGGGGCCTGGGGCCCTGCATTTCTAACAAGCTCCCATGGATGCCAATGCTGCTGGCCCACAGACCACACCGAGTTGCAAGGCTCTGGCCATACAATGCTGTTGTACACTTCAGAAAAGCACACCCCTTCTTTAACAAGGAGAAACCCCACTCCAAGAGTGGGGCCAGGCCAGCCTAGACTGAATTGCAGCCCCCACTTGTCCCCAGCAGAACTCGGTAGCTGTAGAGATCTCCTCTGGCCTCCTCATTTTGAAAACCCTTTTCCCAGAGCTTGACCACCCAGGCCATGGGAGATATGCAGAGTAAACAAGGTATCTCTTGGGACACTGAGTATTCAGTGACAGGCCAACAGTTGACCAGAAGCTGTCAGCTTCTTGCCAAGAGACAGAAAGCCTGGGCAGCAGCAGCCTCGGGGCTGGGAAAGGAAAGGGAAAG